CCCCCCCCCCCCCCCCCCAAGTTGCCACAAGTAAATTTCAGATCAGTTTGACAGTTTGAATAAAATCAAAAATCACAAAATACTCAAAGTTTCATGTTTCTTTTTGTTTTAATAAAGTTTTATGTTTCCATGTCCTGATCCATGTTTTCAATGTAGCCTTATTTGTTTGAACCCCAAATTTGGACTTTTTGTTAATAAAGAGACTGATTCAGCTTTTTTCTTTCAGACAGTTAGCTTCATGTTTGACTGAATACTTTAGTCAACAGAAATTTGTGTGCGACTCAATGACTGCAAGGTAACCATGACTTGTGGCTGCAAAAAAAGCCTGATCATCATCCCTCCACCACCGTGCCTGACTCTTTGTATGAGAGGAGTGCTGATGTGCTCTTTGGGTTTTCTCCAAACAATTTTCCGTACATCATAACCAGACAGGTCCACTCATCTGTCCGAATGACTTTGCTGCCCGTTTTTCTTTGGCCTGTCGTGGAGTGAAGTGGAATTGAAAAAAAAAAAAAAAAACATTTGTCCATATTTTGAGCTGAATAACTTGAAAAATAATTGAGGCACTAACTTGCATTTTGGTGCATGGCTGCATCAAGACATGAGAAAGGTTACTATTGAAAATTGGGTTGCCATGTAAAAATCAAAGATGGCCACCCCAATCATTTTAGGAAACTACTTTCTAGTTTTTATATTGCTAAAACGAATAGTCTTCTCAAATGTTTGGGGTGACCAAAGACAGATCTAAGGAGGTCAAGGTCAGCACTGGCCACCCCCTGGCTCCACCGTTGCCCACCGCTCACCAAGATCTGTCACTCTGCTTCGCTTTGGACAAACAAAAATAAATAAAAATCTACCTCTGTTCTTCTACACAGTGCAGCTTCTACACATTTGAATTACTTCACCAAAAACATTGTTTACTTGCATTTCCTGTTCAGTTCCAGTTCAGAAAAACACAAACTACAAACGCTCACTACTCAAATCCCTCATTGGGGATGGACAGGACAAGTACAGTATATGATTTATGGCACATCATATTTTTAAAAAAAAATATTGATTGGCAGCAACGGTTGCTTCAATAAGATCATTGCTGTTGTCTTTCCTTCTCGTCATTAACACACCTGAATGCTTCAGAGCAGCAAACACAAACCAGACCTGCTTTTGTAGATGAGCTCTCGCTGATCAGTTAATGAAGTGCATTTCTTTAGCAGCACCTGGCTGCACCTTAACTTCTTAATTTAAATGGAAACAGAAAGGATGGATTTAATTTTCCACTCTCTGCTTTTCCAGCTTGGCTGATTTTTTTATATGCTAAGTATATATGGAAGCACATTGTGTTTGCATTACTGCACCGATACTCGTCTGTTTTAGGCTAAACTACTAAATGAGAGTTAAAGTTGCTTGTGCTTTTGTTTGCATTTTGTTTCTACGATGCTGTAAATTGTGCTCTCTCCGCTGCTACTGGAAATTTAGCTAAAAATATTTTAGGCATGCCTCATCCATATTCAAGTTTTATTTTTTATTTTATTTTAAAATGAAGGTTGAAAACAAGGGGGAAGAGCAAGTAAGCATTTTAAAAAGGCAATCTGCACTAGAGCCGTCATTTCTAACCTGAACCCGAAACCTGGCCTAGACCGACCCGTTATAATGTGATTAATGGCCGGGCCGGGCTGGGCCAGGCCGGTCTCGGGCTTTTACTTGGGTCAGGATCAGCTGTGATCCAATTATATGATAACATGGCCTGCCATACACATCCACCAGCCGCACATGGCCATTTCACTGTGAGCTGACCGGCCTCGAAAGAGGTAAAAAGTTCAGTTAAGCTTCAGATGGGACTATACTGCCAGGCAGCGATCCATCGCCCAAATGGACATTCATTCTGCCACTGCACTCAGCGGACACGTGCGGCCGACAACGCTAACAGCGCAGCTCCCAAACAGGTGAGATCCCAAAGCAGACGCGTGTGTCACAGCTCTCTGTGTGTCTCTGTAATTCAGACAGAAACAGGGTTTAAATGCTTTTTATGGCCATGAAAGGACAAACACCTCTCAGCTCCAAATCTTATGCCACTTTTATTCAGCTGTGCATCCCCGACCGTTAATAACCAATTAAAAATGTATTTTTTTCCGGGTTCGGACCTGTAATTACCGTTAATTCGTCGGGTCGGGTGGGGTTCGAAAATTATGACTGCAGGCTGGGGCCGGGTCGGATCAGATCTTTTGGGCCCGAATGCAACTCTAGTCTGCACTAAACCTCCATCATATTGAAGAGTATTCATTTAAACTTTACACAAGATTACTAAAGTTGTATGTATGTAAAATGTATATTTTGCATTTGTAGCTAGAAAAAAAAAAAAAAAAGAGTTTGAAAGCAAGCCTGAAAGCAAGGTTCAGCTCATCCCAAACTCATCTGTTCTATAACAGAACATCTGAGAAGAAAAGAATGAAGTCCAGACCTCAGCCTGGTGAGATGCTGAGGTGAGGATTCAGTATATTAAAAATTTAAAAAGCCAGCAAACTTCAATGAACTGAAGCAACACTGGAAAGAAAAGTGAGCCCAAATTCTTCCATATGAAAATCGTTATTTTATTTTTATGATGTGTTTGGTATTATCATTTTACAGTTTATTGTTTATCGTGTAGCATTTTGGCCAACGGCAGTTTTTAAATGTGCTATAAAACATTTCAAGAAACTGCTCAAAGGAGGTGGGACAAGTTCTCGTATCGTAGCGTGGACTCTTCACACAGTCGTCATTTTGGCTTAGTCTTATTCACTAATGACAAGGATTTACTTTGAGATGCTACAGAAACCGCTTTCTTAAAGAGCACATCATCTGTATGTGCTGTTTATTGTCAAACATAAAATGTTTCCTCACACAGTCCAAGTTGACTGAATCTAAAGCACATATGCTTTCGTACTGAGGATGTTTATTTGCAGGGCACTGAGCTCGCTCAGCCTCTACAGACGACCGTTTTCGCATTTCTAGCAAATTCCACCTCATCTGATGCGTTTTGTTGATGCCATTAAGGTTTATGCTGCGTTTGGAGACAACCCATTTATCTTTGCTACAGTTTGGGTTGCTGGATTTAAAGAGCAAGACAGGAGAGCCGCAGTAGTTTTATACTGTGTGGAACAACAAGCCAAAGTAGACAAATTAAACTGTATAAATCATCATTTCTTACCTACTTGATCTTTAAAAATCTTTGAAATGACCACTGGCACGTTGTGCTCTGCACCTCCCTGAAAAGGGCAAAAATAAAGAGGGAATAATGAGTTTTAACTGTGAAATTAACTTGCAAAGTGCTTTTTTAAAACTGTTTTTTCCACCCAAACACCCAAAGCCTTCTCATTTCCACTGTAGTCCCTCCATAATAAAATCTTATCAGCTTACTTTGATGCTTAAGCCCAGGCCGCCAGTCGCTTGTCTTCGCAGTACAACAGTTCTGTGCTTTAGAAAGGGGGAGTTTTTTTATTGGCAAAGGGATATTGTGGACGTTGAAACAGTAATCTGGAGTTATGTGGCATGAATTTCAATGCAAGCCTCGAGCGCACTTACATTTGCTTGGGATTCAGTTCCACTTGTGCAAACCACATCCAGCTTCTGTATGGTTAATGCGTCTCTGGTCAATTTCAGGCAGACATCGTACGTATTGTTGCTCTCCTCATCGTACAGCAAAGCAATTCCTGATTTTGTCTGTTGGAAATGAGAAGAGCATTGACATTTTGCCAAGCAAAGCAATTATGCACACAATGAACATTTTAATCCTCTTTTCTCAATTTGTCTTTTTTTGTGCGCCGTTCTTCTGGTGGAGTTTTGGGTTAATTGGTTTTGCTTGACACAGCCAAACCTTTCTGTGTAAGAATAAAGGGATTTTCTACAATGGATGAACGAAAGTTTAGAAAATTGAAGGCGATTACTTACATTTGACAGAAATGTCAGGCAGCGTTTGTAAAAGATTGCACCTTTGTGCAAGAAGATTTTAGTTAAAAAAAAAAAAAATTTTGAATAAAGATTTAATTTTAGGGTATCATTTCTGATTTTATTCCTTAATTATTAGCTGAAATCATAATTAAACAAAAGCATGAGGCAAATTAAACAAGTTGAGTCAGAATTCATTTAATTGTGGCACAGTTCCTATAACCGATTGAGTTTATAAACAGTAGTGATTTTAGATCAATCCATGTAAAACATTTAATTAGCAGCAGTTAATTTACTAGGCAATCTGTAAGGGGTCATTGTGTGAGAGGCTGGGGACACCCTGGACAGGCTGCAAGTCCAATGCAGGGACACAGAGATGAACAACCACACATAGGGACGTTTTTCAAGTCAATGAACCTGATCTATAAGTTTTTGGTCTGTGGAAGAAAACAAGAATACCAGGAGAAAAGTTATTCATGCAGGTAGAATTGAGAAAACATCAAAATATTGTAAATATCTGAAGCAAATCATCTAGTTTCCCTGTCTTAGGTTGTGCTACTATTGTTAAACATATGTTGGTATTTAGAATTTATCTAAACAATTCCATATTTATCCAACAAAGTAAAGTCAGGTCCTCTGGACGGTTTCTTTTTGTTGAAACGTTTCGCCTTTCATCCAAAACACTTCAGTCTTATTGAGCATGAATCAAAATATTTTGAACCGCTTTGGCCACGACTGCCTCAAAATAGTCGGCGGGAGAGAGGGCGGACTCCAGAAACCAACTTAGCACCATCAAACTGGTTGATCCACCATGAGAAGGTGCTATTTACAAGACTGAGTTTGTTGCAGCTCCTCGGACTGATGAAGCACTTCGGATGAAAGACGAAACATTTCAACAAAAAGAAACCGGAGGACCTGAATTAATTAACACGGATTATTGAGCATGAATCAGGATATTCCATATTTACTTACCCAAAACCTACTTCAAAATACAAACCAGCCCTTTTAATATTTAAGGACATTTAATTTGAAATAAAAGTTAATTGCAGACCATTAAGATTTTAGTTCAGTGTTCTAGTGGTCTGCAAGACTTTTTAGAGCTCTACATGTAGATGATTTACTTCTTAAAAACAATTTAAAATGGTGAGTTAACATTTGAAGATGTAATGACAATAATATTAAACCAAGAGGACAAAAAGTGTTTAGTTATTTACTGTTTACAAAAATCTAAGTAAATTCTGGATTATGAGTTTAAACACTGATGCACGTAATGCTGCAAAACTAGAAGGTACATTTTCTGCCAACCCGAGCCATGTTACATTTGTGAGAGCAAATACATGTCCGAATTATATATTTCTTCCTCAAGACCCTTTCTCTTTTTGGTTGTTTTGAAAGATCTGACTTTATCAGAGTCAGAGAGATTTCTTTGTCATACACACTGCTAATCTGAACTAACCTAACAAACAAATCCAGCCAAAGTTAAACCATAGCTCTGCATTTGCAAAATGCACAATGAGGTTTACCGCACACATTAATCAGCTCGTTTATCTTTGACAGAAATTAAACAATCTACTACGGTTCATTTTAATCTTTGGGGCTTCTTCTTGAGTAAAGTGTCAAATAACTCATGCAGCACAAAACTAAATGCTTCAGCTACAGCAACAGTTTGGGTTGTAATATTTAACAGCACATAACAGTAAAAAGAATAAAGGCACTTAAATTACTTGTGTCCCAAGAAAGAAAAACCCCTGAAGGTTACACAAAAGACAAGTGGTTGCAGTTTATCATTTTACTGTGTTTTTTGTGGATACACAGATTTCTGCAAAATAGGATGTGGCTCTTTTCATTAATGTGCTCCTGTGGGATGAGTGTTTTTGAAAAAGGTCACAGCCACTACATGAATGAGGTCAAGCAATTCTCTAAGATGCTCTGGAATGAAGGTCATGAACTGCTCCCATCAAAGGAGGCAAGAGGATAAATTAGAACCCTGTTGAATCGTGGTGGCAGCAGCAACACCTGAGACATTCAGACGAGACAAAACAAGCTAATTGTTTTCATGACCCTCAAAGCAGAAGTCAGGACACAAAAAAGAAACCAAACGCCTGCTTTTCAGTTTCAAAAAATGTACATCCCTTTGTTTCCAGACAAACTTTAGAGATCCTAAAGAATGAACATTGAAAAGACTGTAAGGAAACGTTCATGTAGGAGAATTACGTTCAGTTTAAGTGTACATTTATTTGAATTCTGTATAACTCAGGTGTCAATTACTGGAAATAATTAGAAGTTATTGTGCATTCTGATAGTGGCACAGTGGCTCAGTTGGTAGAGCTGTTGCCTCTTAGCAAGGTCGCCAGATCTGGATCTGGATGGATTTTGCATGTTCTCTTCGTGCATGCGTGGGTTTTCTCCAGGTATTCTGGTTTCCTCCCACAGACCAAAAACATGCATGTTAGGCTGATTGGTAACTAAATTGGCGCTAGGTGTGAGTGAGAGAATGGTTGTCTCGGTTGTTTCTATGTGTCCATGTGATAGACTGAAGATGTGTCCAGGGTGTCCCCCACTACTTGCAGTGACTGCTGGATATGGGCATCAGTGACCTCCACAATCCAAAAAGGAAGAAGTGGGTAAAAGGTAATTAATGGATGGATGTGCATTTCGATAACAGCTAAAAAAAAAAAAAGGGTTGTAAGGGTTCTGATTGGCAGGCCGTAGACTGAGGAAGTCCTCTGGATGGGCGACGAAATGTTTCTCACTTAAAGAAACTGGTCCAGACAACATGATTTAACCTTTTTTGTCGATTACACAGTTAGGTATCCATCAGTGCATTTCACACTTAATAAAAACACTTCCAAGTAAGAAATGTCCTGATGCATGCTCAATAATCCAGGTAGAAAAAAAAA